TTTCTCAGAAGTTTCATTTTACTGGGTTAGTGTTAACCGCTCAATTAATTATTGCACTCAGGACCTCGGGTTTAACAATGTGACAGAGCTTCTTCCACTGCTCGTGAATTTCCATTGCAAATTGACGTAGTTCAGGATCTTCAATTGCAATCAGATACTCAGGCTCGTCTTCCCAATCCTGCATGGTCCCCTCCGGACATCTGCAATTTGCGGAAAAAATTTGGTTCACCTTCTGTGAAATTATTGGGAGCCAGAAAGCTCTATCATATTTCTGTTGACAAGTACCGCCAGAGAATTGAAAAGTTGATTTACGAATAAATTACTCAATAATTCAAAAAGCAGGCTGCCAACTTATGAAGAAAGATTGGATGGATTTATATGTACCTAATATTAAGTCGAAAAATGAAAAACCAAAAAAGTGCATAAGTATTAAAAGTCAAAACGTCCTTCGTATTTCGCTCTCATTGAAAGGGGGAGGTACTCGGCAAATAGCCCGAGTGATTAAAATACATCAGTAAATAAATCAAAGAGGAGGGAACTGAGTATTGAAGAATTTTTGGAAAAATTGTAGTGTACTGTGTAAAAACGAACTGCTCGATATCAGATCCTTCGGCATCAAAATTCTCTTCAACGAAAGCACGTAGTGCTTCTCGATCGTTGATGCTTATTTGATTAGGAAATTTTTTATGGAACTCATTGATCACTGTTTCAGGATCCTTCCTCAGCGGTTTGTCGACAAACGTTTTCGGATCCTTATAAATATCAAGCAGCGAAACGGCGTGAAGCAAATATCCCTGGCAATAAATCATCCAGTTCTGCGAATTCTTAGCGTCACACGGAAAGACGGGTGTAGCTACCGCGGTACTTGTTACGGCATCCTGATTTGGTATCAAACTGCGACGAGTCGTATCAGCTGTTTCTGCACTTGATGCCACTGGTACCCCATCCTTCCCTTTCTTCTTTGCCTTAGCTGCTTCTGCCAATCCGTGCCTTTTGGGAGGGTTTTCTGATAGCATGTAGCCTATCCAGGAATGTTCTATATTCTCATGAAATATAGTGATAGTGATAGTGGCGAGCAGTAGCCAAGACGTTTCTTTCATTGTTATTAAGTACTGCAATAATGCTGTTCTAGCAGCGCCAAGAAATTGAATCTGCAACGATAGGCCTGTGACAGGTCATCATAATTCAAAGATGTTTAATTTACCTGAATTCAATTCAGACTGCTTACTTAGGAATCAAACGCTGTATTTTATAACAGGTTGGAAGAAGCTGGAGTGCAAGCACAGCGTAAGCGAGAAACGATAGGACAGGAAAAGAACTGGAAAAGGAGGAAAGATGGGATGTCGGTAATTACTTCACTTTCTTAAAGAAGTTGTAACAAATTATTGCTTCTTGGTTGATAAGAACTATCACATCTTTCCATTAACATTTACAACTCCTGAAGGAATCAGACTGCAAATCCACTGGAAAAAAACGAGTGGTCGAAGAACAT